TGTATGATGGTTTGTTTTACCTTTAATGGCTAGCATACTTTTTTTTTTATTTCTTGTTGGTTGGTTGGTTTTTGGTTCCACGTTGCCTTAATTCTTGGTGCCTACTAAAACATTAGACGTTAGATTCATTCTTGGTGCCCACTAATATATTGGACGTTAGGTTTGTTCTTTGTGTCCACTAATAATACATTGGCCGTTGTGCCTACTAATAATACATTGGACGTTGGATTTATTCTTGGTGCACACTAATACATTGGACATTAGATTAATTCTTGGTGCCCACTAATACATTGGATGTTGGATTCTTGTTAGCCACTAATATATTGGACGTTGAATTCATTCTTGGTGCCTACTAATATATTAGACGTTAGGTTTGTTCTTGGTGTAATAATACATTGGACGTTGGATTCATTCTTGGTTCCCACTAATATATTGAACGTTGGGTTAGTTCTTAATGCCACTAATACATTGGACATTGGATTCATTCTTGGTGCTTACTAATATATTGGACGTTGGGTTTGTTCTTGGTGCCTACTAATATATTGGATGTTAGGTTTGTTCTTTGTGCTCACTAATAATACATTGGACATTAGATTAATTCTTGGTTCCCATTAATATATTGAACGTTGGATTCATTCTTGGTGCCCACTAATACATTGGACGTTGGATTCTTGTTGCCACTAATACATTAGACGTTAAATTCATTCTTGGTGCCTATTAATATATTGGATATTGGATTCATTTTTAGTGCCCACTAATACATTGGACGTTGGATTCTTGTTGCCCACTAATATATTGGACATTGGATTCATTCTTGGTGCCCACTAATATATTGGACGTTGGGTTTGTTCTTGGTGTTTGGACGTTGGATTCATTCTTGGTGCCTACTAATACATTGGACATTGGATTTGCTCTTGGTACCCACTAATATATTGGACATAGCCTGCTTATTATTTATTTTTTCTTTGATCTTAACTGTTTTCATTGGCTGCTGCCTTTTTTCCCCCGTAATATCTACCAAATAGAGTATATATTTATTAGTAGAA